GGTCATGGTGCAGTGACACATTCCAAGTCAGAAGACAGATAAGACCACCAAGGTTTGAAGCCACTTCTTCCTTCCGCTGGACAGGTTTCAAAAAAATCCTGCGAAAGCTCTCTCTGGCTGTGTATAAGGACTCAGGAAGATGCACAGCTTGCAAGCCCTTGGTCCAGGCAAGGCCATGCCCACCTCCCCTTGCAGAGTCTTCTCTAAAGCACTACTACAATGCTTTGTGATGTTGTGGCTCCTGCTGGGCGAAAAGGCACCAGTGGTTCATTCATAAAATGGTGCCTCAGGTAGGAAAGAGGTCAGAGTTCTGCACAAGAAATGAAATCCTCTTGAAGTTACATAGCTGTTCTGGGGATATTAACATACAAAATTAATGAGTGTTGCATACATCAGCCCAGCACGCTGCCTCAGTGAACACCAAGCCCTGCTGTTGTTGCCTTCTTTTAAGAACTGCAGCTCCTGTAAGCACTTGTAGCATGCACAAGCTCTGCATTCTCCCTCTTCCACTGGGCTTTGCAGAATGCTTTTCCAAATATCTTGTTTTGTTATCAGGCAAAAGGATTTGCATTCCTTGCCTCAAGTCATTTCTTGTTCATGGGCTTTCCACATCCATCTTGGCCATCGGCAGCACAGAGCACCACCCACATCCCAGTGGCCAGGCAGAACACACCTGTGCCAGCACGTCGCTCATCCTCAGGTGTGCAGAGCACTGCTGACCCACCACCATGCAGCAATATCACATGCTCAGGCAGCTGGCAGTGACCCCTGCTGTGCTGACTGTGGATCCGAGCTCTGAATCGGACCCTTCAGAGAAACAAGGAATAATGAATCACGTTGATCTCTGAAGTAAATGGCAACGTTGAGCACTCAGGAAATACGGGACCAGGCTCATTTCCTACATAGGAAAGAACAACATCTTCTTTCATGCTATAATGCCTGTCTGCTCCTGGGAGTTTTACTGTGTGCCAGATGATTGAAACAGAGCCACTTGTGTTAGAGCCACCAAAGACACAGAGTGGAGTCAATGACACAATTGCGTTGGCCAAGGTTTCAGAGGAAGGGCTCCTGAGGACACACAGCAATGGACCAAAGTCAATCACAGCCCTGAGAGAAGGGTCCAGTGAAAACCTGAGTGCTGACAGCTTACCAGCTGCACGATTTACCCAAACCTACTGCTAAATAATCATGAAAGTAGCTGTCAACCGAGAGCAGTCTTGATAATGCACATCAAGAGCCAACATAACAGCTTAAAAAAAACAGTTCAAATGCATAGACAAGGGAAACTATACAGTTTGACTCATTTAATTGCTTAAATCATGCCAAATTCCAACTTAATAACACGCTTATATACAAAGAACATGTCACAAATAGCGCATCAACAGAAATACATGTTTAACACAAAGAAGTTAAACCGGTTCTGTGGCACATGCTCGTTTACATATGCATTGATTTAATTACAGATTTCTCTCCCTCTTTTCAAGATTGCTAAAAAAGATCCAGAACACAATCCCTGAAACTCTCGAGTTGAGCCAGACTGACGAGATGCACCAATTTTCCCTTTGGTTGTGCCGGCAGAGATGCGCAACAATTCTGCTCTATTGACGCAAACAAAGTCAGAGGGAAGGGCAGCGCTGGCACGGCTGAGGTTGGCAATGCACCACTGGATGTAATGAGATTTGTAGCTGTCTACATAAGAATGAAAGGTGGAACCGGGCTGGAAGATCCTTGAATTCCTACCCCGCAGAAAGGGCATCTCCAAAATCAGATAGATGCCTGCACCTCAGGGCTGCTCTCTGTGCCCCGCAAAGCCAGTGAAGCATCCTGCCCTCATGCACACAGAACTGCTCACCCATGGACTGGGCACGGCCAGTTGCATCCATGCCAGAGCAACAAATCACCCAGGAGATGCATTAGGCAATCGTTTCAGGCTCCATCAGCAAATAAAGAGATCAATGAGTGGCACTTGGAGACTGTGTGAAGCAAAGTGGGAACAACTTCTGCCCCTCCTGCCCTAGCCCTTCTGCTCAGCACAAATTGCTCCCCATGTTCCCTGATGCTGTGGTTCAAGTGAAGACCTTTGTGGTTCATGAGCAAAGTCATGCCCAGCTGCCTTTAGCACACGCATGGTCAGCACCTACTGCTAACACCTGGGGCAGGGAAAAGTGCATTCAATGCTTTTTTTAAAGCACTGAGCTGAGCCAGCATCAACAAATCACAGAATCATTAAAGTTGGAAAAGACCACTAAGATCATCTGTAGTCCAACCTCCATCCCACCAGCATTGCCCACTAAACCACACCCCTCAGGGCCACATTCACCCTTCCCTTAAAACTCCTCCAGGGATGGTGACCCCACACCTCCCCGGGCAGCCCATGCCAGTGCCTGACCATTCTTTTGGAGAAGAAATCCTCCCTAGTGTCCATCCTGAAATAGTGCACAGTGAGAGGAACTGATGGTGTAACACTACTCAACTGCCTCAGTTATGTGGGAGCTTGACTGAAATCAGGAGCAGTTCCTTAAAATCGACTTAATCTGCACTGAAAAATCCAGTCAGAGGAATATTCCAATTGCTTGTCATTGTTAATTAGCCCTGGCTTTTCTCTGCAGACATCTGAGTGCAGTACCTGCTGTCCTTTGATTACATCCTCCAGCAGTACCTCCAATAGCAGGGACCAGGTCAGGTTCAGACAGGCAGAACAAAGGGATGGAATAACGAGTAACAGGTAAACAAAGGGAAGAAACGGCTGAAATTATTGACAGAAAACATCATGAAACAAGAAAACACAGCATGGTGCAGGCTCTGGGCTGAGCAGCGGTCTGCTCCTCATGTAGAACAGAGGCAGCGTGAAACAGGCAGGCAGCTTGGGATTGTTGTAGGCTGTGCTCAGTCACACGAGATCCCCGTTGGGCGTTCGGTACATTCAGTCTCCTTCCATCCGTTCAATTTGTTTTCCCAGCTGGCAGAGGGATTTATTTAAAGAGTCTTTTCTCTTTTCTGTAAACGTGCGGCCTTATAAGATAAAGCAGGTGATTAGTAACAATGCTGAGCATAGAAACTTTTGATTTTAACTGTGAGAGGTGTTATGTTATCCCTACCTCAGGTAGAAAGGCAGTCTGTCTGTAGGAAATGTATGAAATACAGCTCGACCCTGTTGATCTCGCTGTGCCCATCACTCAGCAACTCCCAGCTGGACAAGGAGATGGAGAAAACAGAGCTTGCTCTGCTCAAGCTCAAATCCAGAGCTGCACAGCCCATGCTGAGGCAGCCCACGCTGGGGATGCAGGAGCACAGGATGCTCTCACGACTTTGGTGTTGCTGTGAGCATGAGCTGGGGCTCTTCTGCAGGCAGATCCAGCCTGGCTGGGTCTGTACAACTTCCCCTGCATTGTGGGACCTGGGATATCCATGAAGTGGTGCAGACCAACACATGGGGACAGCCCAAACACCTGGGGAGAGTACTGCTGCTAATCCATGCTATGGAGCATGCTGGTCACCATGGGTGACTTGGAGGGGATGTAGGACTCCCCATGTGCCATGCTTTGGGGACCACCCCATCTCAGCCAGCTCTGCTCCACAGTGGCCACCCAAAAACCCCAGCAGCAGCCCCACGCTGTGACCCTGATGCTTCCTTCCCATCACCTGTGCATCTCTTCAACACAGAAACCACAACCATGATTGGGGTAATGTGACCACAGCCCAGCTGCCTGCACAGCAGCACTGCCATGAGGTGACCCAGCCTTCTGACTGCATGACACTGAAACAAGGAACAGCCCCCAGCCACAGAGGCACGCACACCACCAGCATGCACCAGTTTTCTTTTGGAGCTCTCTGAGCATAACAGTGCATGAGAATTCAGAGGAGAGCTCTCTGGGCCAAATGGAAATGGGGTGGGCAAGAGGTTCAGTATTTCTTTCCACCCAGTTCACTTTTCTTCTGTCCACCAGAAAAGAAAAATGGGAAGAAGAGAAAATAACTCTGGGCTGGAGCAGAATGCTGTCTATTGCACATAACGAAAGAAATAGCTCTGGGAGTTACCAGAAAACATCCCCTCCATCCCTTGGGCTAGTCGCTGCAGCACTGAGAGCTCAGGGAGGCAGAAGATGGGCACAGCTCACACGTCCTTTCTTCTCCCGTCACCACAGTGACTGCTGCATTCAGAGTGGGAACTGAAAATAAACGTGGGAAGCAGCAGATGGCCACTGCTGAATGCATGATGCTGTTTGCCAAGTCCTGAGCAGAAGAGCACGCGTACGGAACGGGATGGAGCTGCTGGCACCAAGCACAATGGCAGCACCATGGTTGCAAGTGGAAAAGCAAGAACCACTCTGCTCTGCACAAACAGATCTAGAGGAAGAAACTATACGTACGATGGGCTCTCCGTAGGCTGTCCAGGTGGTTCTCCTGCTTACCAGACCTGCTGCACAGTGAGGACATGACATCACCACACCTTGCAGTGATGGATCAAAGCATTCCCATATCAAGGCAGGACCACTGATGCCTCGCATTTGAATAACTCCCCCCAGTGCTGTCCAACACAACCTGCTCGTTTCACTGGGAACTCTGACTTTGAGTCAATTCGAATAGTTCTAGCTGTGACACGCACAGGACTAAGCTGTTCCAAGAAAAACGTAAAAGCATTTAAGTATACTCTTTCATGTCTTTTCAGACCTTAGGGATAATTCATTTAAGCATTTTCTCTTAGGAGGAATGGCAGAAGGAGACAAAGGTTTGAAAGCAATAATTTCACTGGAATTACAGCACAAATCTGTGAGGAGATGGAGGGAATGCAGCACAGAAATCATTGCTGTGGCTCACAGAGGAAGTCAGATTATTTAACCATGTAGCCTTAACATTCTGGAAATGGTCAGCACAGTAACACAGAGAACTAAACAAAGAGGCACTCGAACTATAAGAGAAGAAAAGCAATTCTGTAGAAAAATAAAAAACCAGGAGGGATTTTAGGACATTGGTAGGATGCTGGCCTACCTTTTATTCACTTAGTTAACATGGTTCCTCTTGCATAAATTTTCATGTATATGCTAGATCTTGTATACACTAGAGTACACTTGCATTATACAGGGTGGGATTTTCTTATTTTACTTTTTAACCAGCACCATAAACAGCTGCTGAACTAAGATGAGTTATATCAGCCCAGGTGCTGTAATGGGCTACAAATTGCAGAATGTAAGAAAAGTAAAGATGATATTGTGCTTTTCTGGCCCATGGTTGTCTTGAAGCTTTTTGCAATGGAAGCCAATGATCTACAACTATTTTAAACACTACACAGATATCAAATCAAGATAAGCAGCTGCAGCTCATTGCAGCCCTCTGTGATATAATTGTGCTTCTTATCAACAGTGATTAAAAAGTGCTAAAAGTCCTTTCGAAGAGGGATAAAGTGTGGAAAGCCATAAAGCAGACAGTGATTCTTCACAACAAACACAGTCCATCAGTTTCGATGCCACAACTATTAGAAATATTTACTGAAAACAGAGAACAATTTTTAACTCCTAACACAGTAAATAGTATTCTTCCATCTGAGAGACAAAGCAGAGAACAGCTGCAGTTCATTTCTTCTGGATTCACAGTCACAAATAGGAACAGTTCACAGCAAGAACTTTGTTGGAATAAAGTAGAAATGTCCCGTGGCTAAAAGTACAAATCCCGTCTTCTGTCGTGAATCTGAATACCTGAAAGACACAGCATTAACAGGCTGTCAAACAGAACACTCCATTCAGTCCCCTCGGATGTTGCACAAACAAAACTGCACCTTTGGGTCTTCTCTGATGCAAGAGGGCCCTTACGAGAATAACCAGAATGACCCATCCGAGCTCTCCCCAAAACATTGCACAGCCAAGGAACAGCACTGGGGTAACCTCCCAAGCACAGGGCACAGCTCGGGAGACCAAGAAAAATGCGGAAGCCTGAATGCTTTGGGAGTAATTTTGTACAATCATCAAGGTTGGAAAAGACCACTAAGATCATCAAGTCCAACCATCAACCCATCATCACCGTGCCCACTAAGCCACATCCCCCATTGCCACGAACAACACTGCCAGCAGCACGGGGGGTTTGTTGGTGAGAGGGTACAAGAGATCAGGGGCAATGACAAATGGGTGCACTGGGAGGCAGCAGGCCCATGCTACAGCAACAAAAACGGGAGTAGATGGAGATAGAATATCATATCTCACTTTAACAAAATGTTTTCCCTCTTTCCAGTTACAGGATGGCAGTGTGCATTTCTGGAGAGAAAAGCAAACTTTTGAAATGCAGTCCAGAAGCAAGCAAAAAAAGGATTAAATTCATTGTACCTAAGAAAGGCAGGTGTCCTCTACAGGCAAGCACTAATTTGTTCCAAACCTGCTAATTTCTTTACTCACCTGCAGTGGCATGGCTTGCACTGGGGTTCTCTGAGCCTTGGTAAGAGCTGGCTTTCCTCTCTTAAAAAAGGAAAATACTGGAGATGAGCAGAGATTCGGCACAGAGCTACAAGTAGGCAGCAGTTCCAAAAGAAACCTTGTGCTTTTGCAGCCCAGCCTATAGCACAGGTGCTGGGGAGCTCTGTGCTGTCTGGCACAGCAACATACATTTCCATAAATATAAATATCAGCTGTTCTTAAACATGACACAGCACAATGAGGAGTGCATTGAACAGAGCCAAGAAACAGGGACTCCGACAGCCAGACTGGATGCATACATCACAGGGGCTTGCCAAAGTCATGGCCAGTCCCTTGTCTGTGTTTTTTTGGGTTGCTCAATAAGCAGACATACAGCATTACACATGTGATGTGTTGTGAGGCTCCTGAGATGTTTAGAAAGGTGTGAAAGAAAATGTTTCACTGAAGATGGCTGGGGGACACTGAGCTGCTTCGTTATCTTTCTTTAAGATTTTAACTCAATTCTGTGCTGAATTTTTGAACTGAAGCCCACTACAGCTAGCACCATCTCCTCTTGTTTGATGCTCACACTGGTTACATGCAACATCTTCGTGTTTCAGAGGAGCACAGGTGCACTGGGCTGCCAAGCCACCTTGGGCTCACATTGCCCCCTGGGGGGAAGAGGGCACCTTGCTTTGTTCTGAAATTGAATCCTAAATCTCAACTTCCTTAAAGCAATTCAGCTATCATTTCACAGCCTCAAACACAGCCCCAGCTAAATCTATCTAGGTATGTACCATGAACAGAAAACCTGCAACCCAGATGGAGACTCTCCCCCTTCCATGCATGGGCAGTTAGTAATAAGTAAACTCCAGGTAGGACATGCTGTGTGCCTCCAGCAGATTCCCCCAGCAATTTTTCACAGCCCTTTTTCTTGGAACCCAGCATCGAGCTACCAAATGGGAAAGCCCAGCAGGGCAATACATTGGGATCTCACAAGATACCCAGGCAATGGGCAGAGTCTGGTCACTGACAGCTTCCCAAAGGCAGAGAGCACTGTCTTCACAACTCTTGCATGAATTGCATTAGGGCTGGGGAATGTGCTGCAGAGAGAAGTCAGCCTCTGACACACAGGGTAAGAACAGCAATTAGCTGTGGGGCAAGGTGAGGCTGGCCACCAGTCCTTTGTCCATCTCCTCTGCCATCCACCTACCTCCTATGGTACTGACCATAGCTGAGCAGGGAGAGAACCCCCTGGCCTTCCTGATAAGGGCAGCAGCTCCACACCTTTGGTTTACAGCATCATCTGTGCCCTAATCAGTCAGCCTGGTGGCTTGGGGCTCTTACATGGGTGTCCCTTTCTTAATCATAAGTGGGAGAGCTGGTAACCACCATCCTGATACCTATAGGCAATAGGTCTTCATAGCACATGGATAATGCATGGTGGTGGTTCTTAATCATCCTGAGTATTCCAGCATTGGATATCTGCTGGATACCATTTCTATGAGCTGGGCTGAAGATGGCTCAGATTCTAGCACACTCAGGACAGACTCTACCATTTTGTCTCCTTCCATGAGATGCCATCAAAGAATAAAGTGACAGTATTTCCTTACCTCCCCCAGGAACTGAACTTTGGCTTATATTTTGTAATCTAGCAGGTCCAGTCATACAAGTAGAACTTGAGTGTTGCTTCACAGCACATTCCTGCATGGACATCAGGCACCGTTCCTGTTGTAGAAGACCAAGGAGGGAACCGTATTTCCTGTCGGAGATGGGTTCATCCACCACGTGCAGGTCAGGCACGGCATGATGATACACAGGGCTGGTGAGACTGGGAGTGCCAAGGGAAGGGAAGGGCCAGAGGTCTGCAGGCGGTGCTGGATGAGTACGCAGAGCTGCTGGCTGGTACTGCCCTGCCATAGCAACAGCAGGGAAATTCAGAGCAGAGTTGGACATGCTGGTAGAGGAGGATGATGGATATGGTTTGGAGCAATGTGAGGAGAAATTCCACTGGTGAGGAGACATGCTATCTGCTCAAAGAGAGAAAGAAAACATCTGAAGTCCCATCAATTCTCATCTTCCTCCCCCCCCCCCCCCCCCCCCGGCAAATTCCAGTACATTTTTAAGGGAACATTACAGTACTACATATTCATTTGCACATAAACATATATTCACTTTAGTGTCGCTTATCTTAACATCAACTCATACTAACAGCAGGTAAATCACCACCACCAGTACTTCCCCCCCACTCCTTACAGGCATAAGCAGAGTTTTAACACTTGCAAGCTTAGACAAATAGCTCTTTGCAGAAACAACAAATTAAGTCATAATGCACTCAGTGCACCTGACTGTGATGGAGGCTCTTGGCAGGAAAATGAGAACCTGGTCCTGCCAATGGACCATGCAGAGTTTGGGAAGCAGCCCAGCAAACAGGGATTTACTGTGGATGTCCCAGTGATATAAATCAGGGCTCTGCAAGCATGATTTTGCTGCTTTGTTTGCACATAATTCCAAACTATTTGTAAACAAGGCTGCATAAGCAAATGTGAGAAAACACAGCATGTTTCATCTTCTATTTCTTAGCAAAAGCTCAGCACCCGGCTCACCATGCTTCGGGACGACAACCTCGCTCTTATGTTTTGTGCTCAGGTCTTGTGGGTTCCTGGCATTGCTCAGAGCTCTAGAGAAATGTTCATCCACCACGCTGTTAATATCTCCTTGGAAATACGTAAAGACGACACTCTGAGACCCCCATTCTGTTTTCACAGGCTCTTTGTTCTTACACGGCCTTGGAGAAAGTTTCCTTCTTTCCTCCATTTTCAATAAGCAGCAGCCCCTGCCAAAAGAAACAGATCGGTACAGGAAGAACTCTTCATCTTAAATAGCACTGCCAGCGGTGAGCCTGCCTTCCTGAAATTAGTGGTGCCAGAGGAATTGTTGCCAATGAGATGAGATTCTCTATCTGGGTTTCTGCTCCTTCCAATCATCTTCTAGTCGTAATTCTCTCTCATCAACTATTGATTCACGATGAAACCCCCGAGTTCCTCAGCCCTCATCTTCAGATTTTTACAGTTTTGCCCTCCTGCATCCTTTTCCCAGCTCCTGCCTCTGCCCCATCTGATCACAGTGGTGTGTGTGTCCCATCCTCACAAGTTGGGTACCAATTTGGAAATGCAAGGAGAACCTACTCCCAACCCCACCCCCAGCCATCTGATTGGGATGCCAGTCTTTCAGAACTTTGCCATTGACCAAATCTTCCCAAACAGAGCAAAGTTCAAACCAAAACCTTCCTCCTGGTTTATATCTACCTTCCCATGGCATATGAGGAGAGCAAGAAGGTAGTAAATTCCAGTCAAATAACTGGAAAAACTTTAAGCAAAAGGACACTACTTTTTCCCCAGCCTGGTTCTAGAAAGCAATACACAATTTAGGTTACAAAACTTTCTGGCTGTTTATCTGGAGGCCAATGCTTGCCATGGAAAATTCCAACCTAAGTGGTGAAAGTGTGGCAAAGTCATCAGCTGCCATACAGCTTGAGAAAGGACGAAGAAAGATCAGATGATCTCAACAGCAAGCACCAAACCAGTTCCTCCTATACTGCTCCGTGATGCATCCTTCAACATACAATTTAAAAAGCATTAGCTCTGGCCCAGAGGACCATTTCTCCCGTTCCTCGCTCGCGGCAAGACAGCCATTTTGTCTTCATGCCACCATATTAACATGTTAACCAGCTCATGATGGTAATTGTAATGTCCTTTAGCACCATTTATTGATGCGTAGCAGCTTACACTTTTGTGAATTCTGACAGCAGTACAGTTACTACACTAGAAAAATAGTAGTCTGTTGAAGCAAGAACATCAATTTATTTCTCATTGCCCTTAATCATAGAATCACCAAGGTTGGAAAAGACCTCCAAGTTCACCTAGTCCAACTACCACCAGTAATTCCCTACTAAATCATGCCCCCTAGAACATAAAAACCTCTTGTGCTTTCCAACAAGTTGTCATAAGAAAACTGGATGTAACTCAGCTGAATTAGTTACCTGAACTTCCCATTCTTGTCGTCCACAGCAGGAAGTCTGCAAAAAAAAAAAAAAAAAGAAAGAAAAAAAGGCAGAAATCCTTCCTATCTGCCTGCCACAAAGTGCTGTCAAAATATAGGTGGGACGAAACAGACTCAACCAACCCTATGTTGCTCTCAGAATGGGTGGATTATGGCTAACAGTGCAAATAATTGTCAAAGTTATTTGCCCTTCAGTAGACAAGGTAAGCAGGCTTAACAGATGCAGTTGTTGACTGCTCACCACAGGTACCAACTTTGTTTTTCACATTTCCAAGTCCTTGCTTGTACTATTGATTTCCCATCACCGTGCCTTTAGATAGGGAACTCCTTTTTTTCTGTTTCATGCCGCCTAAACCAGTCTTAAAAATAAAACCCCAAAGATTTCCAACTTCCCAAGCATCGAGCAACAACCCAGCAATCAGACATCATCCTTCACTAAGTATTTTCCAAATAAAGGAGCACTTGAGAAAGGCAGCAAAGATACGTTGAAATAATTAAATCCTCATACCTTAACTCACTGTGACGAGCTGTGGCACAGGGGTGAGGTGTCCTGCAGGTGGGGTGGTCATGCTGTGCCCAGTGGTGTGCAATCCTTCCCCCCGACAGCTACACGCACACCGTGGTGACTGCAGGAGACGAGCGGCGCGGCGTTCATGAACTCCCCGCACGCTTTCTAGCCTCTAGCTGTGACTGAACTAGGCGTTTCCTTCAGCCTATCTACTAAGAATGCATGAAATGCACTCCAACAAGTCAACCGGGTTAGGAGGTTTCAGGAATGAGGAAAATAGGATTGTAAATAGGTTTTTTTTTTTTTTTTTTCTTCCCCCAGTGACAATGTGTACACAATGAAGAAGACAGTGTCTGAGCTTCGGAGGAGTTCAGAATAAAGTGATGAACAAGTTACAGCCAAGAGCCAACCTGCTGCCTTGGCCAGGGTCAGAAAGGACTTCCCTGCTACACATACGGCATTAAGTGTGTAACTGGGAATATCAGCAAGGAGGAAGAGATCATCCATCAGCACACTGGATGAACTGGATGACCAATTCCTATTTTTTTTTCCTCCTGGATCTGCTGAAATGAGAACATTGTTATTCTGTACATGTGAGAAACAAGTGGGTTTGGATTTTTTTTTTCTTTAGTAAATTTATCAAAATTACCAAATTGCAGTCACTCCAGAAATGCTGTATTAAAGTCAAATATACTAATTCCTGCTAGAAAAATGCATTGACAAACTAGTCATCCAAGAGGCAACAAACTTTGTCTTCTATTCAGAGCCTTAAGAGGTCGTTCACTCAGGCAGGAGGAAGGCAGGGCAGCACCCTAGGATTCCCTCTGCATCAATACATATAAACCTGTTTCCCTGCCATCTCCCAGAACAACTATCAGCTCGTAGGATTTTCCAAGGCTGTGCTTAGTCTTGTGGTCAACACAGCCTTCACAATAAACAAGTTTTAACAGCGAGACAGACTGGATTTCCAATGTCTCAGCAGGTCCAGCACCCTAGCATCCCAATCCTGGATCCCTCTTTCTAAACCCAGTTTTATAGTATAGCAGATTTCTTCTGCTAAAGCTTTTCAAGATGTCAGTCATGAATTTCCTATTAGGGTTGCATAAAAGGCTCACACCACTGTCAGATGGCATCAGTTTAAAGCCACTCTGTGAGCAACCTGAAGAACATTAGGTAGAAATGGGATTGTCATTCCTGTTCCTTCCTAGCATTGGGATTGAGACAATACATTTCCCAATGCTTTTTGGTTTTAGCATTCAAAATGTCAAAAGTTTTTAATAAAATAATTTTCAACTGTGAGAATAAAAAGTGTAATTCTTGTTGTCCTGCAGTACCTCCTGCTCCCACCCCCCACGCCATCTCAATTATAACCAATGGTTTCCATAGTTAGTTCTCCTGATCCTTCTGCCTTCATGCAAGAAACAGAATTATAGAATTGCTCAGGTTGGAAAAGACCTTAAAGATCATCAAGTCCACAACCTGACCATAGAACTCTAACAGCCCTCTGCTAAATCATGTCCCTGATTTGCACACGCACTGAGCCAAAGCCCACAGAGATGGAACAAAAAATCTATCCCAGCTAAATACTAACAGTTCTAGCACCATGAACTGCAGTCACTGCCCAGCAAATGCTATGGGGCTTTTTTACTGAGGGGAAAACAAAAAAGAGACAAAGACATTCTCTCAGAACTCATAGAAAAGACTTTTTTGTTCATGAGTTTGTTTATTAAAAAGGTAGTATAAAACACAACCCCTTTAAGAAACAAAAGTGAAGACAAATCAAGGGATTACCAGATGCTGCCACAGGCCTAGAAGTTATTCAAATATAATAATATCTTGAGTCGTTTATTTTCTAAAAGATAACTGAAAACAATCAATTTAACTTATCAAATAAAACAACCTCGAAGGAAAATTCCAAGTCAGATTACTGAAAAGTTTAATCTTACAGTTTACTTTGAAATTACAGAAAAAAAAAAAAACAACAAAAGAACAATTTGCTGCAAAAGATTTTATACTTCCATCAGTATTTTACAGAACTTTCAGAGTATTGTGACAGTAAGACTTCAAGCCCTGTATAATGAGCACTGAAAAACTCACAAGCCAAATCAATACAAGTACACAACTTACATCGTTTTAGTGCTGGATGGTTTCTCACGTTCAAACAAAAGTAGCTTTAAAATCTGATTAAAACCTATAGGCATGTTTTGTGGGTTGTTTTATTATTATTAAAGTTTGCTTAAGTTACACAGAATTCAGGGTACTGATATTGATTTTTACTGGGAAGTTTAAGGCAAATCTGGGTTTCTAAGAAGTACGCAATACTTTTGAGTTTTCGTAAGCTAAATATTCGTAGTTGTGAATAGATTAACCTTAACAATGTCTAGGACATGTTTTAGCTAAAATGCACTGCATTTAACATACTAATGATTTTAAGTGAATTGCAATCCTTATACAAAGTGCAAGTTGTACGAGGGACTGAAATTCAATTAAAAGAAGTCATAAAAAAAAGTCAGCAGGAGAAACAGATAAACATTTTGATGCAAAATGAAACTCACTCACTCTTTCCAGCCTATATGAACATTCGAGAACCTGCTGCAACTTACATGCCTGCTCTGCTTGGGCTCCTTGTTCCCAGATGTCCACCTTGGCCACGCTCCTTGAAGCGTGTAATCTCTGACAAATGCTGATAATTCTGTACAATTACCTTGACAGCAAACCATTAAATAGCATTTGATTGTAAAGTAAACTACCGACGTACCTCAAAGCTAAGCAATTGATTCGCTATTCCATGGCTAAGGAAGTGATCACCTACGCCCAACTGCAAAGGAGTAACAATTTATTAGTATTCTTTCCCTGCTGATAGGTTTAAGTGGCTTCACATCACATTTGTCACACTGTGCGAATTAGCAGAAAAATCTTTCTTTAGTTCAAAGCAGCAATGACTACCAATAAAGCGTGTCAATCAGCTGCTAGGCAGAGTTTTCATACAATTCAGAGGGAAGAAGACAACTTTTCTTAAGATGAACCTCTCCCTAAAAGGCCATGAAGGAAGAAACACACAGTACACACAAATGGAAACTAGGTAACATTAGAGATTGAGCAAAAATGATGATTTTGTTGCTTCTAATAAGCAAGACTGATTACCAAATCAATCCTGCGTTCCCAGGAAAGATTGATTTTAGTGGTCATTAGAAAGTATTTTTCATTAAAGAACAAAAGCAGTGAGAACTGCATTGGGCACTTTAAGCCTTTATCAATCCACTGATGATGCTCAGAAAAAATAAAAAATAAAAAAATCAAGATTTTAAAAGCAACTCAGTTTGTTCTGCTTCTGATTTGCTAAAATATGCTGTTAAATGTTACTTTTCTACACAATCATTTTCATAATTGTACTTGAAAAATAATAGTTTGAACTAATGTGAGAAAACTTTGCGTTCACTCATTTATAAAAACCTGCATAATTTAGGAAAGTACCAAAACCAACCAACATTAATGCTAAAAAGAAAGTCACAGCTGCATCACCCCTCTGTGAACTATCAAATGGCTCCATAACTCAAGAAACAGTTTAGAAAAATATATATTTTACTTTTTACTAGGGAATAACAGAAATAGGCAAAGAAAAATATCGGTTTGAGTGTAATGTCACTTCAGAACATATTTTCATGGAAAAACAGCTTTTATTTTCTTAATAATCCTACTTTATAGGAAAGCCAGTAAAGCATTCAGTCTCAGTCTTTATCAGTGCTCTACTTCAGTGTGAAGTCTAGAGGAAAACATGAAGCAAATAACATCACATTGGACTTCTCAAACAAGCCAATTAAGTTTGTATACCTATTGGAGAGAGGAAGGTTACTGCACAAGTAATGTTTCTTTATTTTCCAAGATCTTTTCTCAAACACTAACACGACCCTTTTTTTTTTTTTTTTTTTTACATTTGATAAGATGATAAGGCTTCATAGAACTGTACAATACTTATACATTTGACAAGTTTCCCTATATCAATTGCAATTCCACTGTAGAACAGGCAATTAAACTGTCTAGAGTGTTTTATGAATAGCCTCTTAAAAAAAGCAAACAAAACACAACAGCCTAACAAATCTAACACTAGAGAAGCTTAGAAGCTGGAAGAAAGAAGTAGCACTGAAAGCAATACTACATTTAATTACACTCTTCTTGTGACAAAGCTTTGAGCCCTCAGAGGTCTGCAGTGCTACCAACCAAAATCCCACACAGAACCAATACAACCCAGAGATGCAATGGGAATATGCCACCAATGGGCAGCTGCAAACCAAGCAGTATTTCAGATTCCCTGAACTGTCCAAACTTTTTTTGTTTAAACCCATCATTCACACGTTTATGAATATGAGAAAGTGGCCTTATTTAGATGGCAAGAGATAAGAGTTCTGCTTTATAATGCATCTCATTAAAATTGGAAATCTGTCATGCCAGCTTGTAATGAGCTTCTGGATTTTTAAACCTGGAACTCAAATCATCATACTTGTTCAAACAACAGGTATTTTGTCATAAAAGGATATAATGGAATCACAATGACAAGTGTTAAATGTTAGATGGCTTGGCTGCTGTAACTACCCACGCATACTGGTTACATATAGAAACCTCAGGGTACCATAAAGACTTCTGGAAAAAATAGAGATGGCAATCTCAGAGCACAAAGTTTGAAAATACCAACTTTCAGACTATTCTGAATACTTCAGGATGGAAATACACCTAAAATTAACATCTATGGTTTCTCGCAATCCAATATGAATTAAAAAATATACAGATTAAAGAGCCTCCCTACAAATGTGCACTAGCAGCCACCATATGAACAACGTGCTATGAATTTAGCACCAATATTTTAAGCATTTAGTGCCTGAATCTGTGTGCTCGTATTCTTAGGAATCAAAATAATGGGATTTCAAATGAAAAATGACTGTGATCAAAATGGCTCCCCAAGGTTATTTTTAAAGCCTATTGTTTATTAAGGTATCTAAAGATAGAAGGCTTAAATCTTTGTTTTTGGAAATATTTCTAATAGAGCTAGCATTACATTTGCTTTTTTTCCCCATGGAAAATAATAATATTATTTGAAAGCATGTTCAAGTAATCTAACATGTACACAACCAATTGTATTTCAAGTTGCCAAAAGCCTTTAGGTTTTATGAAATAGAGGAGAACTCCCCACCACCCTCTGAAGGGCAACTGAAGGCTAAATGCTGAAGAGAAGTCATTCTAACAGAGTTAAAAGAAAATCCTTACTCTAATATCAAAACAAAAATTAAAGTCAAGTCAACAAACAAAAGCCTATCTACTGTATACAGACCATAGGAGTTTAAAATCAGTTTTACTTCATTATAATCTAGAATGTGTGTGCTCATGCATTTCTAGTCTCCTTAATTCCAGCCCCTAAAGAAAATCTAAGCATCAAAGATATAAACAAGGGAAAAATAATTTACTGAATACTGTATAGATAGATAGTTAAATCTATCTTCACTCTCCACTGAAATAGAAATCTTGTTTGTTCTCCACTTCAAATCTGCAAATCAATAGCAGTCTATTATTTTCTTCTTAATGTATAGCAACACATCTGATGCATTCACCCTGTACTTATCACAGCATCCATTCCATAGAATGATGAGAACTATTCAGGACAAGAATAATTTTAAGGATAAGATACCAAGTTCCAAGGAAAAATAATGACAAAATCCACAAAACTTGCAATAGCTTTGCATTTTTTAAGTTACATATAGTTACATAAACTTAAGGATTGGAACATATTTCACACTTATAATGAAACACTGATAAGCATAGATAGAACAAAAGAAGCTTGATGAGTTTGCTGTTATTCTTGGCAACTTGAGTTACTTTACCTGAACAGCCAATTAATACAAACTTTTAGAACCTCATTAAATACTGCTTTTAATGAAAACTTCAAAGCACACAGTTGATGACATTTCTAATAATGCATATATTCACATGACGTTGTCTGCAGTAACCCTGAAAGAAAGGGATAAACTCAAACATCACCCTAAAAACCATGCTTTCATAAAGCAATGGAAACGTTATGTATCTGCTTCAGCATCACTGCCTGCAAGGCTGCTGTCTGTGGATGGAGCACCATCTTCATTAATGCCCTCCCCATTATTCTCCTTCTTATGGCCTCCATCATTTACATCCTCCTTGGATGTATCATTAACTTTTGAAGGTTGGCTGCTTTCAGGGATTTTAACGCTACTCGTTGTGGAATCTGAATCAGATGTAGTTTGCTGTTCCTTTGCATCAGGATCCTCTAAAAATGATCCCCATACCTTCAGCCTTTCTTCCCTTTCTCTTGCAGTCTCCTCCACCTATCAAAGACACGTTTATACATGTCACTCTGAAGTTACACATGTAAAGTGAATATATTTATACAGAGAAAGTTATGTGAACTTTATATTGCAGTAACACCTCAAGACTTCTGTAGGACCTGTAAACTAATTATCTGTACATCCAGTGAACAATCCTTTATGTTTACATCTCTAATACACATTTTTGAAAAACAAACAGGTCCTTTACATTTTATTTTTTTTTTCTAAATCGAATATTTAAGGATGTAGCATTTTTTGTGCAAAAGCAAGATGGGACAAGGGACGGGCATGAGGAGGGGAGCAGGGAGGGGGGACAACAAGCATTTGCTCAAATTAATAGATATAGAATAAGAATTTCATGAAATAGAACTGTGAAAGACTACCTGATAATCTGTTACACCATCCCACGTTTCAGCACTGAGCTGACGGCCACCAAACCACCTCCCATTTAGAGTTAGTTTGCACAGATCAGCTTCTGTCGCTTCCTTAAATGACACAGAAGCTACGCCGTCAGGGTGTCGCTGTAAAGAGAAAAGCTTTGTTTAATAGTACTCTAAATATAGTGTAACTATTCTATCACCCTTTAGCTTGCCTTATAAAATCACTCAGGATATTGCTCCATCCTGAACATATATCATCTTGTTTTTCAAAACAAGTAGCAAGTTTACACATTTTGTTCTACTGCTTAAAACTCTGGTTTTTTGTTACACAGAACAGAATTTTTGAACATAGAAAACAAATGTTTCAGCTAGTTTAGCTATAAAGGAATTTATAAATAAACTTTCAAACTAGTGGTATGTATCCAAGATATCAGGAAAAGCTAGACTGTATACTTTAATCAGTGTAGAGAGAAGTGTTTACAAATTCATTTCTGAAACAGCTAATATTGAAAGATGAGGTCAACTTTTCATGAAATAAATCCATGAAAACAAGACAGTGCTTCACTCATATTGAAATAATCCCATATACTTTGTACATTTACACATTACATCAATTCTGCCAACACAGCCATCTAGAAATACCTACATCAAATATGAGAACCTTCTTTACTTGACCAAACTTTTCACACTCTGTCCGTAGGTCTTCCCTGATCTCATTTAGCACTAAGGGATCCTCCTGCAATGATTAATTTAAAATGGATTAATTTAAGAAACTTTTGCTTAACCACCAACAGAATTAATCTATCAATCTATTACATGTTCATAAATCAAGTGTTAGACTGTATTTTCAAAGCCACTGTGAGTTCACAGCCCTCATTTGAGTACAATTAGTCAAAGTACACTTATTAATGAGGTTATTTTGTGCTGGCTTCTTCACCCTTCACAAAATTACTGTGGACTCTTACTTTCATCCCAGAAAGAAATATTGGCAGGATACACTCTGTGAAAAAGAGTGATTTGCAAAACTTATTCTTATCAACATCTCTGTATTTGGCTTTTTGGAAATAGCTTCATGGATTTTAAGCAAATGCTTGTAACAAGCAGAATCCCGCCCAAATGGTAAGTTTCACTTGTTTCTCACTGACTTTGAAAAAACATGGCATGAAATTCAGCATTAACTATAATAGCATAATCTGAAGGAGCAAATTGCATCTTTGTACCTCAAAGTCCTTTGGGTGAAACATATTCCTGATAATAACGATGCGTTCATGTCGCATTCGAGCTGCGCCATCTTTCTTCTCAGGCCTCCAATCCAGCTGTCTAATGAAATGAAGCAACAGTAAGAAGATATTGTTGCGGCTCTCTTCAGTTTCTACAAGTATTTGTTGAAAAAAAATCATTAATTTGGCATTTCTTAGAACACATCAAGAAAAACAAGTATTTTGACAAACTTAATTTTTTCTTAAAGAAACGCAGTTAAGAATCCAATTTTACCATTTCTCCTACAAAGCAGTTAAAGTTTTAAGGTACTTAAACACCCACATAGATATAAGTTACTTTAAGAAAAAGATTCAAAGCACTTTTCTAAACAGCAAAAAAAACCCTTAATATTTAATTCCTCCTTCCTGTCAGCTCAGATTCATTCATTCCTAATAAAAACATCAATATCTTTTCTAACAGAAAACTTGTTTTGTAAAAAATGAAATCCACTTTCCCCCTTGGTAAAGTTTTGGTGCTCATATTTATACAAACATGCAAGAATTCCTTGGGTTTTATAGAGAGATTGCTATGAAATGTATTTTGTTCCACAGCATATAGAAACTATGACCCTGAATTGCACTGCTAGGTTTGTGCATCTTTTCTATGACTTTGCATTCTGTTAAAAAGAGGCTTTTCTTCAAGAATTTATATTTTGTATCCTACTACCAAAGAAAAAAAGAAAAATTTACTTGCAATTCTAAATCTCAAAATTTTATATTTAAGGGAAAAAAAAAATCTTTAAATTTCTCCTTCTATCTGCTACGTGAGCTGAAGAAAACTTGAATATTCAAGAAAGTTGCTTTGAAAGTAAATTATGTTCTTCAACCCAAAAGGAATGCCGTCTGAAGTCAATTTGTGTAAGACAGAATCAAAACAGCTGAATGACTAAAGAACCCAAATTGTTTATTCATCCAAATCGCTGTAAAATGCTGTTTTCATAGTTCTCCCCTCTCAACACTGGAGACATCTTAAAACAAGATCTGCCAATGCATCTGAGGCACAAACATTTCAAACTGCTTTTATTCTTAACTTGTAAGATGTCAAGGAGATTTTGCTCACTTTAACTATGACAACCTATACTGGCATTACTATTTAAAACGTTTAGTGGAATGCTGCTTACATTAAAATAAGAGTCCTATGCATTCAAAACTTTTTTCTTCTTTTTAATTCTCACCTTCTTTCAAAATGCAGAAAAACAATTATTAAAAGATAAGCCCAATGCATTCACATACAATTAAAAAAATACAAAATGGCACATACCATAAAGCTGTGGGAATCTACAGAGATATGTTAACACTTGCTGCTAAGAAAGTTAGCATCTCTCACCATTTGCAGTGAGTAAAATACCATATCAACAGTGTATGTATGTAGAATTATTACCTTATGAAGTAAGCTTAGGACCACAGAACTCACCCACTCTCACACTCTGGGAAAAAAAGAAGTCTTAACTCCCCTGAGATGTAATATTTCTTGTATAACTGAAAGAAACTTGTTTTCCTATGCATTATTTTGATTCAGTAATCATGAAGCTTATTAAGTCAACAATTAACATAGAAACTCCTTCTCTACAAATGTATATTATTTACACTGTTTCACTGTCAGGTGAACTTCTGTGCAACTCTTAGCATTTAATCTGAAAAAAGCAACACTTTAATAGCACTATGAATTCAAGCAATATTTTACAGAAAGAAAAAAAAATACAAACTTCTGCTGTTGAGACAACTTCTTCTTGTAGTCTTTACATTTCTTCTTCTTCTTGCTTGCATCATACTCCCCCTTGAGTTGAAACTTTGCAACTTCAACATGCAATTTATAGCCTCTAATTTCTGCCTCATCCAGAAGCCTCAAAGCAAGTTGAACTGATTCTCTCTACGTGAAAACAGAAACAGAACACAAGCTTAAAAATCACACTGCAAAGGCATCTAATCCAGTAAGATATAATTAAGAACATTGTGCTAAGAATCAATTCCCTGATATTGAAAGCCATAATGCCAGACCTCTTCTTTTAGTCTTAACTAAAAAAAGCCACCACTGAAATACACACAACTGGCAGTGGTTTTTAAATCAAAGTAAATCAAGTACTTCTTCACCACTGTTGTAGCAGATCAATGCTCCAAAAAGCAATTGCTTATATTTCAATTAAGTGTCATTAAAACTACTCCCAACACTCAAGCAAACTGATAAAAGCAAGAAAAAAAAAACCAAAAAAAAAAAACAGGTGCTTGACTTTCTGTATATATTGTAGCACTTCTCCAAGAACAGCTGACGTTTAGGCTGTTCAGCCATTTAAAACGTTTTCCTAAAAGTTAATCACAGTAGACACTGTATTTATACTTGTGAACTAAGCAGCTCTAACTACTAAATCATAAAGCTAGCATGCAGATTACAAGGCAGCTGCTTAGTACTGCCTGGTGCTTCTTGCAGAGTTAAAGCAGACTGTAGTGGCATACACTAACTTTCCAAATGATCCACAGCTGAAAAACATGAAGGAAATACTACTGCAACCCAAACTTTTATAGATGAATATAGGGAACAAGAACAGTTCTGAAATCAAGGTCTGAACTTAAAACAGTTCTCAGTTAACGGCCGTAAATACACAGCTACACCATATTCCTTTTCATCTCCTAGTCTGCGTTCTCGGCCACACAGACACACATTTTTCTAATGGAACATGAAGAAGTTCCCTGTTTCACACTATAATCACTGACACCTAAGACAGGAATACTTCTGAATATGTTCAGGTATTAATGGACATTTTCATTAGAGAGCTGGATAAGGGGAAAACAAATGGGGTGCACGGACAGCGATTCCAGAACTACCCATGTATCAGCTTAAAACAGACATGTATGTTCTATGTTATACTTCAACAATCTTTTGAAATCGATTTGAAACTGTGGCCACAAGTATTTTCAGCAGCAAGGAATACAGTATTTCAGTGCACCACTGACCTTTAGATAGCAGCAGAGGCCGTCTCCTTTGAGATTTCCTTCCTTATCTTTGTAAAGTTTGATTTTGTGCTCTTCTGTCTGAGGATCTCGCATAATGATCCCACCTTTCGACATGACTTGAACAAATTCATCTTTTGTAATGTCTGGTGGTAAACCTGTCAGGTACATTAAAATAGAAGGATTGAGTAATTTCACTCAACTTTTTATTTTTTACTTTTAAATCTCACGAGTGAAGAAAAAACAGTGTTTCTTTAAATGAAAAATAGGAAA